CAGAACAAAATAGTTTCTCGTTTAACAGTTACTACAGATGTTGCCCTATGACAATGGTTAACTTTGACTTTTATTACTTATAGAAAGATTTGGAGGGACCACCCTAATTTGTTAATACTTTTTTAGCACAATATTAGGCACGATGAAAGGTCCAGAAATAAGTCAGTTGTAAATCCTGCCTCCAAGCAGTGTATTTTTTAGAATGAGCAAAGCCATGTGCACAAGTAAAAATAATCCAAGGTAGAATACGAAATTGATAGGAGAGAGGCACAGATAATGTGTTGTGGGCGTTCAGAGGAAACAGCTAGCACTTACCCCAGGGGTTCTGGAAAGAGAGGATTGGATGATTGTGCTGGACTTGTAAAGGATGGATAGTATTTGGAATATGTTAAGAAGTTGGGTAGGGTCATTTTATTCAAATCTATGAGTGACTCTGCCATTCACTCAGTTCCTTAGGACAGAAACTAGGGAACATCCTAGGCACCTCTTCTGTCTCTGTGTATCTTCAGTTGGTTAGCTAACTCTGGCCTTTCTGTCACTTAATCCTCTTTCTAATCTCTTTCCACTCTATCCTACCATTAACACTTTAGACTTTGTTACTTCTTTCCTAAGTTAACTATAATGTCCTCCTATTTTCCTTGATTCTGTATTACCCTCCTTAGTTGATCATGCATATAACTGCTAAAGTGATGCTGATACCAACAGAAGCATTTGGGTATCTGTGTTCCTGTTAGGTTCATAGGAGAGGATTAAACTGACTCTTATCAGAGGAACCAAGTACAAAAGCACATAGGTATAAAACGATATATGCAGGGAGCTAATCAGGGGTATTTAACCATATGCTCTTGGCTTTAGGTAACAGAAACTCTCTGAGTGTGATTTAAACAAAAAGGGAATGAGTTAGGAGAAATCAGTGCTGTTTAATACACTCTAAGGCCGGGAAGTGCAGCAGGGCCTCACAAGGAATGGGATCCAGGGACTGCAGAGTGTTCAAGGACCAAAGCAGCTTTCCACCCTTGTTTCTCTGTCTTCTTGGTCTCCCAGACTGCTTCATTCTCTTCTCTGCAGATCATCTTCTTGCTCCTAAATTCCCGGTTTCCGTGGCCTTGGTCTCGGTTACAAGCAGGGCCAATTAGCTTATTTTCAGATTTCTGGAAAATAGGCTCTGATTGGTCAAATATCTACCCCTGGTCTAGTCAGCTGCAGCTGTGAGGGTGAGATCATATAGTCATATAGAGGTGCTGGAGCTCACTCCGTGTGGTGGGGACACATTTCTTAGGAGGGAGATTATGGACTAGGGAGATATCCCAAAAGGTATCAGTCACGGTAAAGGAGAAGGCTGTGACCATGAGTTTTGTGGCCCAAAGACTGGTTGAGTGGTGTTGCCACCAACCAAAAGAGCAGATTTGGGACAGGGCAGATGATGAGTTCAGCTTTGAAACTATTGAATTTGAGGGTCAACAAATACTTACAAAGTACCTACTTTGTGCTAGATACTGTGCACAGAGAATACTGTGGTAATCAGTAGACATGTCCTGCCCTGAGATATCCAATAAACTTTTGGCTAAAGGATCTGGAGCTCAGTTGAGAGATGTGGGCTGGAGACTGGTTTGATTGTATTTGGTGCCTTCAGTAGTCTATAAAACCAGGCTAGTAGAAAAGATCAATTAGAGAGCTGAGGGTGGCAGCCTAAAGAACACCAATATTTAGGGGGCAGGTAGAGTAAGAGGATCTGTTAAAGGAGATAGCCATAGGAGTCAGAGAAAAGGAAATCATCAAAGGTTAAATGCTTTAAAAAAGGCAGAGTAAGTTAAGACTTAAACATGGCTCCTGGACTTGACAATCGAAAGGCCATTGGTTATTTGCTACTATGATTTTAGTTGAGTTCTGTTTCAGTCAACAGGAGGTTGATTGAAATGGGTTGAGGAGTGACCAGAAGGTGAGGAAGTAGTTTCTGAAGAGTTTGGTGGAGAAGAGAAAAATGCCTTACAGTAGTAGAAGAATGTACCAGTGTAGTTGCTCTTGAATGATGGAAGACTGAATACTTAGAGAGTTGATAAGGGGTTGGGAATAGGGGTTAAGAATAAGGTATATTCAGATACATCCTAGAAGGAATCTTATTCAGAGTAACCTTCAGACCATGATAACTGCAGGGTTTAATGAGCTTTTTTCTTTCATTATCTCCCCCAAAAATAATAGGGATGGGGAAAAAAGACACAAAACACACTTCTGTGTTTTTCAGGAATTACAGAATGCTGACAAATTTTACTCACATGGAATTCAATTCAGTAATTCCTCCAGTTTATTGATAGTTACTACAACTATTTTGTGTTTTGGTTGTCTCATTTTAACTTTGACTTGCAAGGCCTAGAACTTCAAGAAGGTGTAATAGATGTGAATCTTTTATTTTTTTTTTTTTTAGAAAAGATAATTTGGTTTTTACTATATATGATAATGAATTATAGTTTTAACTCCAGTAATATATTTTAAGGGATATAAATAATGAATAATGGAAATAGACTTTCAGATGACTATGTAGAAAATTATTAATAATTATGAAAACAATTGATCAGTAGTTTGTTTAAAATTTTTTTCTTGCTTTCCTAGATTTTACATGCTTTTAATTCAAGGTTTGCAGATAAATGATTATATGTGCCATCCTGTCTTGGCCAGCATTATTCTAAACTCCCCTCCTTTGTTCTGCTGTGACTTGAAAGGAATTGATGTTGTGGTTCCTTACTTTATTTCAGCTCTTGAAACCATTTTGCCTGACAGGTAAGCCGTCATTTCTGTATAATTATATCAACGTCTGGTTTGACCTGGTCCATTTTGGTGCTGCCTCCCCAGTTTCCTAGTTTATCCTGCTCAGTTGTGTCCATAACCTAAGGGGACTCAGGCCACATTAAATGAGTGTAAAATACCCAAACCCACCTCATTCTTGAACTCCCTCTAATTTACCTATGAGCTTGTTGAATCCTTTTTGGGTTGGTATTTTTTTGGTTTAGAGGGCTAAGAGCAACCCTTGCCCGGAGGTCCTACATTTGTAGAATAGGCCTTAAGTTTAAAATCAATCAGTCAATTAAATTCCAGTTTAATTCAATAACAGTTTAACATAAAACTTCACACAGCACAGATTGCAGAATATAAACTCAGTAGAAAGTAGTTATTGCATCTTTAAGAAACCAAACCCAATGCTTATATTGTGAAAAATTGGCATAATATATGTTCGGTATTGTAAAAAATTGGCATAATATATGTTTGTCAGTAGCTGAAAACATAACGTTAGTTCAAAAATACTAACGGCTTTTTTTCTTTTGGCAGAGAACTCTCAAAATTCAAAAGCTATGTAAATCCAACAGACTTGAGAAGATCTTCCATTAATATCCTACTTTCTTTATTGCCCCTCCCTCATCATTTTGGCACAGTCAAATCTGAGGTAATGTTTTATTAATTGTTTTGTATTTTATATTCTGTTTTCTGAGCTAATTCAAGTGCAATTGTATTTTAAAAAATTGAGCAGGAGATTTTTTTTTTTTTTTTAATAATTCAGTTTATTTCAAGTGAATTAATAAAGTTGATCTGTTGCTTGCTTGTGGTACTTCTCCTGCCAGCTTGCCTTGGCCTAGCATTTGTTGAGTAGTAATAGGCTAGTGATGTTTGATAACTTATGTGGTGTGAGTAAGTGACAGATGTAGTACAGTGACTACTATTAGACTGAGAACCTTACTTACTAGACTGCTCTTCTCTTTGTCATTCTCTTTGTCCACTGTAACAGTTCCTGCATGGGCATAGTGTACACAGTAGTCAATGTTAAATACTATTCATTTCTTCCGTAGGTGGTCCTGGAAGGAAAGTTTAGTAATGACGACAGCTCCGCATATGATAAACCAATAACTTTTCTGTCCCTGAAGTTGAGACTTGTGAATATACTAATAGGTGCCTTGCAAACGGAAACAGACCCCAACAACACTCAAATGATACTAGGTTTGTGTTCACATAATTTTTTGTAAATGGAAATCCAAATACTGTTGACCTTGAGGCATACTGAGAAGATGGGTCAGTGATTGGGTCTTAAGCCTAATGCAAGCTCTACGTTTCTGAATCAGAGGCAGAGTTTGTTTGCTATTAATAGGAAAAAATGTAAAAGAGTGAGATAAAGGAAAACGGGGTCTATTTTCCTGTGACTTGGCATCCTTCTCCATTTTAGGCTCTCTTTATCTTCATGACATTACAGTTGTCTTTGTTGGTCTTTTTTTTCCCCCAGTGTTTTATTGTAAAAATATATATAACAAAATATTTGCCAGTTCAACATTGGTTATATTCATGTTGTGCAACCATCATCACTGTCTGTTTCAAAATTATTCTACCCCCGTTAACAGAACTAAGGCTCACCCTGTCCCCCTCCTTCCCACCGCTGGTAACCACTAATATATATATATTTTCTGCTGTTACAGGGGCAATGTTAAATATTGTTCAAGATTCTGCACTGTTAGAAGCCATTGGTTGCCAAATGGAGATGGTAAGAAGCATGTTATTAATACCTCAGTTCCAGATGTAATCTGTCAGAGAATATCAACTTCTGATTTTTTGTAAATTACATTTCAAAATGTCCATCCTTCTGATTTTTTAAAATACATTTCCTTTGTAAATTCAACTCATTGATTCAGAAGGATCCTATTTAAAAATATCATATTTGTTGAGGTTTTTTAACTCATCAGCTGTACGTCAGGTCCCTGAGAGATTCTGCACAAGAGAAACTCTAGCTAAATTCAGTCTTTATTCCTGGGCAGTATCTACTCAAAGGTCTTACTTATTTTGCTATGCTAATGAACTGGCCTGAATAGTCTAGGAACAGCCCCCTGCTTTGTAATTCCTGTCACCTCTGGTAGATCTAGTGCTGGCTGTAAGTAAGCATCTAGTATGTTCTTTCCCATGTCAATATTTTTATAGCCCTTCTAGACTGAAGTTTGAAAGTCCCCCAAAGCACCAATGCTCCTAATTCAAAAAAGTTTCCCAGAGACTTTCAGTGTCCTTTGTTTTAGTCTTCAAGATATGTGATTCCTATAGCGGGAATAAAAGGAGCCCTGGTGGCACAGTGGTTAAGCTTGGCTGCTGACCAAAAGGTCAGTAGTTCAATCGCACCAGCTGCTACGAGAGAGGAAGATGTGGCAGTCTGCTTCTGTAAAGATTATAGCCTTGGAAAGCCTATAGGACAGTTCTACTCTGTCCTTTAGGGTCGTTATGAGTCAGAATCAACTTGATGGCAGTGGGTTTGGTTTTTTGGGGTTATAACTGGAATAGAGGCTGGGGAATTAATAGAGTGGACTGAGTAAGCTGGGCAGATATAGGATGGGTGATCAAATTAGATGGTAGTAATAATTAACTGATCTAGATGTAATGAATTATGTTTATAGGGGAAAAGAAATGAAAAAAGAAAACCTTTGCTAGCCCTGTGCCCTATAGGGCAGTTCTGCTCTGTCCTGTAGGGTTGCTATGAATCAGAATCAATCAACTTGATGGCAACGAGTTTGGTTTTTGTTTTTTTTGTTGCATGTAGGAGTTGATGTTTATAATGACCATGTTGTTGGATGCTATCAAATCAGTTTTGACTCATAGCAACCACATGTGACAGAGTAGAACTGCCCCATGGGATTTTCTAGGCTGTAATCTTTAGAGGAGCAGATCGACAGGTCTTTCTCCCACAGAACTACTGGGTGGGCGAGTTTGAACTGCCAACCTTTTGGTTAGCAGTGGAATGCTTAACCGTTAGCGCCACCGAGGCTCCTTATAATGACCATAACCAAAAACCAAACCAAACCTGTTGCTGTCAAGTCGATTCTGACTCATAGCAACCCTATAGGACAGAGTAGAATTGCCCCATAGAGTTTCCAAGGAGCACCTGGTGCATTCGAACTGCCAAGATTTTGGTTAGCAGCCATAGCACTTAACCACTATGCCACCAGGGTTTCCATAATGACCATAGTACTTTGTGTTTTGTGATATAACTACATACGAAAGTTGTTTGTTTGTGTGTGTTTTTTTTCTTTTTATTGTACTTCAGGTGAAGGTTTACAGAAAAAATAGTTTCTCATTAAACAGTAGTACACATATTGTTTTATGATACTGGTTAACAACCC